GAAGATTTGTCCTAAATGGCTTTTATAGGATTGAGATCACACTTGTACACCGATTTTGTTCAGGGTTTCAATCACAAATAAATGTTGCATTTTGTCAAAAGTTTTTCTGTACCTACCAAAATGATCATTATTTTTCCTAGCTTCTGTATATGTGATGTCTCATGCTCAGTGATTGAACTATGTTACCAGCCTCACATCACAGAGACAAAGCCTCCTTGGTCAAGAACAAACATTCTGTTTACCGGCATCTTGTTGACAATTTTATAAACATTTTCATTAAAGAGATTGGCCTGGAGTTCTCTTTTTAGGTTGGATCCTTGTCTAGTTTTGGAATTAGAGTAATTCTAGCTTCCAGGAATGACTTTTGGACTATTTCTTCCCTTTCAATTTCATTAAACAACTGGGAAAGTATTGGCATTAGATCCTCCTTGGAATTCGTACAGAATTCTGCAGTGAATTCATCAGGATTTGGACTTGGTTTTATTTTATTGCTGTTCTAATTTCATTGGCTGTTACTGGATTTTTTAGGGTTTTATTTCTTCTTTGGCCAATTTTAGGAATTCATATGCATCCAGGAATCTACCCATTTTCTCTGAATTCCCCAGTTTATTGGCATATAGTTTTGCAAAATAGTCACTAATCATCGTCTGTATTTCACTGGTGTCCACCATGATTTCACCTTTTCATCTCTAATTGTATTGACTTGAGTATTTTCTTTGAAGTTTTTGAGTAAGATTTGCTAAGGAGTTTGTGTGTATTATTCTTTCATTGAGTGTTGGTGTTGCTATTTTAATCACCATTTCATTGAAGTTTGTTCTGATATTTATAATTTCCTTTTTTGTACTAGTATTGTGACTACTGTTTTAAGGAAGAGGAAATGAGGCAAAAAGATAAGATGTGGATTTTACACCAGACAATCTAACCTTATTACACATTGAAGATTGAAGGAGATTGAAGCCGATACACTGCAGGGGAACAAACGACTGTATGGTTGATATACTCAGCAAGCCCTGTTGCATAATCAGATACATAGAGTATTGTCAAACATGCATGGTGCATCAGCAGCTACCACAATAAACAGAGCATTTGACCGCAGGCACACTTATATGATTCTGCAATGTGAGCTGACATCCAGGATGATGGAGGAATAGGCTAACCCAGTGCTGTCATAATGAATAAAATGTTACTTGTGGTACAGAAATTCCATTCTCCTATTTTGAGTTCTATAATAATGACTGCATTTTTCACAATCACAGTGTATGAGTACACATCTATAACACACACTAACCACAGTACATGACCAGAAATTGGTTATGCATGCTCAATTTAGCATGATGAACAAACTAACACTTAGATAAGACAAGACACACAGGCAGAAGAAAAGAATAATAGTGAAGATTGCACAAACAACAGTACAGGAAAAGCAGTGCCTTGGTCTATGAACAGTAGCAATAGTGAAAGACACTACAACATATGTTCAGATGGCCACAAGCAAAAAAATAAATAAACACTACTGCTGCTTGAGTATTTGATCATGAGGTGGAAATACCTAGAAACATGAACTATCAACCACAATACAGTTACAGATGGCACTTGTACAGCAATTAACTATGGTGCCCTTATTGCTTAGCAAGATGCAATTAGTAATGAAAAACACGATAGAGCAACGAGTAGCTTGGCAGAAGGAATAGAGGACTTCAGTGCAAAATAAGAAACCAAGGCAGAGCATCAGTTGACCATGTTGAACAGATAGCCACCGCCAGGAAATTAGCATGTGGCTGAGACATAAAGCAGACAATCCCAGGGTGCAAGCTGACAACCACAATAGGGAACAAGAAGACATAATACAAAAGAAACAACAATATTAGCAAATATTTAGCATTTGCCATGTACCAGACAGCAATCTAAGCAAGCATTTTACATTTAAGTCTTTGAATCTTCACAGCAACCCCATAAGGTAGGTGTTACCATTATTGAACAGTTGAGAAAACAGAAACACGGAGGGGTGGAATGACTTGCTCTGAGATATCAAGCTGTTAAGTGGCAGAATTAGGACTCAGAGCCAAGTAGTCTGGTTTCAGAGTCAGCACTGTGCATGTACACTGATGGCCCCATGTTTCCACAGATGGATGCAGTACAAGGCTTAAAACACAGAGGACATGAACAAATGGTGGTGATCCAGAAGTGGACAGCAAGGTAGCGAAAGTAGAACCCATAGCACATGCTCAAAAGTCTGCAGTGCATGAGTGGTCACCACAGAAGTCCGAGCATTTCACTGCAGTACAAACTCAGATGGTGCTGCGACATAAGCTGACATCCAGCGTGGAGGAGTAGATACTTGGGGCAGAGGAGAAAGCAAACATACAGAAGTAACAAATAATCATGGTAAAAAAATTATATTCATGGTACAGAAAATTCCACACAATCAGGATGGTGAGCACAAGATAATCATAAGAACTCGAAACAGTGAAAAAAGCAGAATGTAATGGAAATATTCATACAACCACAGAAAATGAGCCAACACCCACTTAGCACTAATAGAAGAAGTATAGTAGAAAATCACTATGAGTGGAGATCTCACAGATGGATATGAGGAAAGGTCTAAACATCTCAGTATATGAATGTTTGTTTCAAAAGCAGGTAGTGAAGGAACACAGAGAGATACCATGGAATACCCACAGTTCATGAAAGCCACGGGCAATGCTTGGCCACTTGATCACGATGTACATAAGTGCACAAAACAATCTGCACTATGACAGAGACATCACACTTCTGGGGCTAAAAGACATAGACTTGGTGCACAAACTTGTTTTCTTGTGATGCCCACTCAGATAGATACTGTGCCTTACAGAAGAGCCATGGCACAAGAGTAAACAGCTTTGGTTAATAAGCAGATGTTGGGTTTACCCACAGAGGCCTGACAGCATAAGCTCCGATGATCATGTTACATGGATAGCCACCACCAATATTTATGCATTTGACTGTGATGCTGATCTGCATAAACACAAAGTCACAGTATGAACTGGAAGAGAAGATGCAGTGACAAGCAGACGTGATGCTAAGTATCCTAAACTGTACCCAGTTAGTGATTAATAAACCATAAGTTCCTTTGGCCTAGGAACAGATGACAATGATGAAATAGACAAATCAATGCTACACACTTAAACAGTCAAGGCACAGGAATAGATACCACAAGCAGTTGAGCATTTGACTGTCATGCAGAGACAACTCAGTGACACAACATCTACCATTTTGGAACAGACACACACAGTGTATGAAAAGGCAGGAGTGATCCAGAGTAAAGATCTATGTAAAGGGAATAAATAACCACAAAACACAAGCTGGTGTGTCCGTTGTGCATGAAACCCCACTTCCGGTAGACTAGTAGGCAGTGAAGGTTCCTGCTCAGGAACCATGGGGTATGAGCAGACAAGCATGCTGCGTGCTCAGACAACCATGGTGCATGAGCAAAAGCCTATAAAGAATACAAAGGCAGGTGGACTCAGCACAGGAACAAGTAACCTAGTAAAGAACATGCCCAGACAGACAAGCTGGAGTAATCGAGGAAACCTAATGTATGAAAATGCCTTCTTTAGACCACGAGGATATGTCAATGATGGCAGGAGGAGTAACATGGCACATACCCAGACAATTGTGATACATGAGTAACTACCACCAAGGAGTGAACACTTCACCACGATTCATACCCAGACAATCCAGGAATAGAAATGGACGATAATAATACAGAGGCAGACAAAGAAAGAAGATAGTAAAGATGAAAGAGCTCAAGGACATCAAACAATTAAGTGGAAGGAGCCACAAAATAATAGTACCAGAGCTGATATTATATAGAATTAGACATGGCAGAGACACGAAGAGACACTTTCATGGCATAGGTTCATACCGTGCGGCTTTAAACACATCAGTATTTGAGTATAATGCACACATAGATGATAACTTCATAATTTGAGCTGATAATCATTGTACAGAATCAATCATCACCATCTCATATCTTTTATAATGTGCCAGTCAATGTCCAAAGTATTTCACATGTAATAATTTATAAAATCTTCACCACAACCTCATAAGGTCTTAGTTTTGTCACTCTGTAGGAAACTGAAGCATGGAATACTGTGTGTAAGATCCCATAACTAATAAATGGACGATCCAGGATTCAAAACCAGTTATTATGGCCTCATTATTCATTTCCTTAAGTATGACAATATGCTGTGATTCTTTTGACAGTCATGATACAAGTTTTAAAAACAGAGTAGATGAATGAGTGGCATTTATCCAGAAGCAGATGGCAGTGTTGCAAATGTAGACACCATAGCACATGCTCAAACATCCGTGGTGCATAAGCAGCCACCACAGGAGTCTGAGCATTTGACCACGGTGCACACACAGAAGATCTTGCAGCATGAGCTAATACCATGCTATAGGCGTACACACTGGTGACAAAAGAGAGAAAGATTCATTTCTGTAGTAAAAACCAGTGTACGAACATATAGATGGCACAGAATATTCCTTGCCAATAAAACACTAGATGATGGCTGTGAATTTTCACACAACATGATGTTTAATTGGAAATCCTTAGGACAACTTCAAAAATAGTGTGTAGAAATTCAAGATGACTGTTAATATCACCATAAAAAATGAGCCGATTCACATATGAAAGATGGGGTAGATATGGTATCTGAAGAAATAATCACACAGTGAAATAGTTCATGTGACAGAAAAAAAAAAGAACACATACAATTGGCCCCACAGAGAAACGATGCAAGATGCTGAGATGACTAAGATGCAAGTCAAGCTTTGCTGAATATGTGCTCACAATGTACAAGTACATCCCTACAGACAATAGCTTGTATGACAGAGGTGCAGACATGAACTGTGCTATGACTCCTACTGAGAGGCTATGGTATGTGTCACAAACAGCCATGTAAGCAATGGATGGCTCTGGTCTAAGAGAAGATGAGAATGATACAAAGGAGACTCACATGGACATGACGCCTTAGCAAAAGGCATGATGGTAGGGCTGGGGCTGTAGCTCACTGGTAGAATGCTCGGCAAGCATGAACGAATCCTTGGCTTCATTCCCTGGTACCACAAAAAAAAACTGGTCAGTGACATACAGAGTTTGTGTGTAGGCTTCATAAACACTCAAAATATCCTAATACATGACTGAATACTATGATACTGTTAGTAGGTGTGATATAAGAGCAGTCAATAAAAATGGGGAACACATCCCTCCTGTAAAAACCCATGATCACAATCCAAGAATTAATATCTATGTTAAAGATGCTGTCGTTCTCCACACAGACCTCAATGCTTCCTTTTTTACACACTCATGACAAGTGATCAACACTGATCATGAGTGCACTGATAACCCATTTTTATGACTTTCATCTAGAATGCTCTGCCAAACACATACTGGGGGGCCGCTTTGGGAAGATGACTGAATCATGCGGGTGCTGTATCCATCAATAGTTTCCTCTAGCAGTGAGCTCAGCAGCTGAGTGTGTTGATCGAAGGTAGGACCTGGCTCCCCTCTACCTCTGCACCCCTTCCCTGGCTCCTCCCTTCTCTCTCTGCTTCCTGAGCACCACAATGCTGAGAAGCCTACCCCCCCCCCAGACCTTTTCATAATGTCACTCCTGAGTTGAAGTCAGCCAACCTTGGTCTGAGTCCTCTAAAACCTGTGAGCCAAGTAACTTCTACTTCAATTTGTGGGTATTGGGCCCTGCATCTTAGTGACAAATTGACTAAGACAACACCCAATGAAAAAATCCATACACTATGCAAACAGCTGGGTACTCTACAGCTTTGGTGTCTATTCAGTTACACGTCTCTATTCAATATCTGCAACATGAAACAAGTTTTCAATCTTGGAAAAGAATGCAATGGTGCAAAATGGGTGCACATGCTGCGGGCTCAGTAGCTGCTGTACAGAAGCAGCAGCCTCTTCCGCTGGGAGTGTCTAGTCGTGAAGCAGACCTTGGCAACCTCAAAATGTGAAGCATGAGTGATAATACAGGAGGATATAGCACAAGAAACTACGCAAAGTGCAGGATCATCTGGTGATGAGCCATGGTAGACAAAGAAAGAGCAATCCTGAAATAGGAGAGAGCCGTGCCTGACACACGAGTTAGCATAAATGCTGGGATATGTGATACCTATGACAGAGAAGCTATCACAGGTCAAGCTCAGATCCCAGTGGTGTGTGAACAGACAACACCGTGGTGCTTGTTCAGAAATCCTGAGGGACATATGCCTGGCTCAGAATCCATAATGCAAAAGCAAAGGTCTTCAAGTGCAGATATCACTTGAGAGTAGGTTGTGTTGTATAAGGACAGCCCCTAGAAGCAAATATAAATAATATTGTTACAAAAAGAAATGCCACATGCTCAAATGACTGTATGGTATATAAATATCACCCCCAGTTGTTCTACCAGCTGAATAAGACGCATGCTCAGAAAATCCCCTGAACCCCATCAGGATGCCATAGCAGCCGTGGTATGCTCTGCTCACAGCCATCTATTACAAGGAGAATGGAGCAATTTGCAAGCGTCAAACCACAGTAATGTATCACGCAGTGTAATCAAGAAATGCAGTGAACATGACACATGTGAGGCTGTTGCCAGGGTAACCTGCCCCACAAGAAATAATCAAAAACATACAGCGAATGTTTAAATGTCAGAAAATGTATTACAGTAAGAGATACATTGCAGTTAATTCTGCCTCTTGCTCATGCCATCCCTCTTTCCACTTTCTGAAGCAGTTCTGGAAGTGCCCTGCATTTTTACCACCAGCAGCATGGCGCAGGCTGCTGAGGTGACTAAGATGTAAGAGGAGCTTCCCTGGATACATGTTTACGCCATACAACCACAAAACCTATGCAAAATAGCCCATCTGACCAGAAATACAGTGAATTATCCCGCCAAGTGCCATCTATGGAAAGGCAGGCCAGACAAAACGTTGCAGGGTGTCCCCACCCACCATACTCATAAGGTATGACACGGTGCAACTTCTGATTCTTCCCCAAAGTCAGAGTGACTGTGACAGCTAAATATTTTGAATTAATTCAGAGCACTGATGTTGCCAGTAGAGCACAACACAATCAAAGGCAATCACGAAAGAAGACTTCCAGAGAGCAAGAATGGCAGGGTAAGTGTTCAAAGTGTTGGCAAGTATTTTAAGTGAGATTAATGACAATGGATCCTTTAGTGAGGTCAATTCTTTTGTTTAAGTATTCAGTGTATGATTCAATCACACCTTGCATCTCTACACTAAACTTTCCATAGAAAAACTGCACACTAAAATACCGATCAGGAGGGAGTGACATAAAGAGGCTGGCCACGGAGTGCTAAGCTAGATGGCACTAAGAAAGTCTGGCGAGCTATTACAGCACACGTTTACTATAGAGAACAATAATGCACTGTATATTTCAAAAGGCTAGAGGAAGGGAATTTGAATGTTTTCACTTTTTAAAATGATGCAATATGGTAAACACGACATTTGCCCGTTTCGATGTCGATGATGCAGTAACTGATATTAAAGTTACTGACAATGAGAACCACACTAAAAATACCAAAGGCCACAGTAAAGGGGAGAACTAAATAACTGTAATGCAAAGCTGATGGAACATGAACCTAAATTCGCCATTCCATACAAAACAAAAGTAAATAATGATAGCACTAAAACAGACAGTATGCAGATGAAAGTAGACAACTGTATTTTTAGGAAAACAAAGGTTCATAAACAGGTGGCCAACGTTTCTGAAAAGACAGTGTTAGTACAGCATGTCGAAACAGCTTCTGGCCGGACATGGTGGCATACACTTGTAATCCCAGCACTTGGGAGGCTGAGGCAGGAGGATCGTTGCAAGTTGAAGACAGCTTGTGCTACAAAGTGAGCTCAATGCCAACCTGAAATGCATGGCGAGACCCTGCCTCAAAAATAAATAAATAAATAACAGCTTCTGTGTGTGAGACATAGTATAGGAATAGGTAACCATAAGTATAAAAACATGCGTCTGCACGCACTCAAAATGCTTTAGTGTATAAGCAAATATTGCTTGGAAGGGAATCAGATGACCATAGTAAGAACACAGAAAAAGAGAACATAATTATGCTGTGAGGAATGCACTTCTGAGATGTGTGTGGAAATTTATGTATCATATCAACATATAGTCAGTCAACAAGCGGGAAAGAAACTTTTAAAGCCTTGAAGTACAAAAAGGGTTTGAGAATTGACTTGGGGAGAAGCAGGCTCTGGTAAGGGAATAAGCCAGTTATCAAAGGCAAATTTCCTAGTCTAGTAAAGACCACACACACCAGGACTGGGTAAGAGATAGGTCAGATAGGTTAGCTACAATGAACACCAGTCTTAATTCTTGGGAACACTGCAGAGGATACAGATGTAGCAGCAAGGACCATTTGAAGAAGTAGAATAAATGCTTAAACAAACATTGTTTCATTTACTTATTTGTATTCTGGGAAAATATTTCACAATTGTGTTAAGTTCTAACCTCACAATATTTAAGCAAATAGACAAATTCTCAACTTCAAGTAGCTGACAGTTAACAGGGAGAACTGGGAATGATGGAGTATGATTTGAGGAACGACAGATTAGGTGGGTCCAATGTAATTTCATGGGCCTTTAAAAGTAGAAGAGAAAGGCAGAAGAGGAGGCAGCAAGATTCAGAACATGGGAAAAACTTCAGGGTTCTATTGATGAAGGTAAAAGAGATCCATGACCCAGAGAGCATATGTGTCCCCTCAAGCTGAGAAAACCTTTGGCCAATAGCCAGCAACTGGGGATATCAGCTCAGCAACTTTACAAAAGTGAAATCGGTCAACATCCTGAGGGAGCTTGACAAAGATCTATCCCCAAGCTCCCAGAAAAAAGTGCAGCCCTGACAATTTGTTGACTTTACAGATCTGTGACATGAAAAAAGTATATTTTTAAAAAACTGCTCTATTTGTGGTTGTTTGTTACACCAGCAACAGAAAACTAATATATTCCGTTTCTTCAAATAAAGAGGAGGACTAGTCTTCTATTTCCTGAGGATTGTGTGATGGTTTAATGAATATGTATATATATATATATATATATATATATATATATGAACATGTTTTTACCTACTACACGTATTTCATTAGAGTACATGGCACTGAATGGACATCTACTAAATGACTGAAAGTGGCTGTATAAATACTTTGTTATATTTTGCCCCTCGTCAGATTTTATCCTTATCAAATCTTGATGTGTAAATATGGTAAGAATTTTTCAATATATAATATCCAATATAGCGGGAATATATTATAAGATATTCTGCTATCCAATATATAAAGATCTAGACCATACAGCAGTTTTGACCTGATCACAAGTTAATAATTGTGTGTCAAAGAAGGCACTGAACCCAACACTTCCGACTCCTGCTCAAGTGTTATTTCCATAGTTCACTTAAAATGAGCCTGTACTGAAGGAGGCAATAAGACTAGAGACTTCTCTTGTACTATTGGAAGGGGGAGAAATGCTTCTTAGCCACGATGTTCATTGATGACTCCACAAGGCTGCCCTAGGCTCTAAGGATGAATCCTGACTGTTCGCAAGAAATACGATTTCCCACTGGGCCTGCTGGGAGACCATTGTAGGAGAGCAGTGGAGACTGTAAGATACAGAGATCTGGATAAGGTCATGTAGAAACCAGCACTGGGGGATTTAAGAATCTGATATAGCTGTCTGAAGAGCAATAACCATGTAGTTCTTAAACCCAGAGTGTTCCGGTGTCAGCCAAAGCCATTAATCCTCTCTGCTTCCTGCTTCTTCAGCTCTCCCACACAGCCCTCCCAGGGGCTTCACAATTCAGCTTGATTTCAAAGTTCAACAATCTCAGATAGAGATCCAGCACAATATCTGAAGCTAAAAACCAACCACAGGTAACAGAAATAAATGGTATCAAGGTGCTTCCATAGATCCAAATTGAGAAATGCAATAGTACACGATCCCCTTAACAATATCATTCATAGCGAGACAAAGGGCAGACCAAGGCAGAACCTGCAATTCCAGCAGCTGATGGGGACAAAGCACCTATT